CGCCTATCTTGACTTCTTGAATGCCTAAATGGGTATCATCGCTGAACTTAAATAATAAAACACCATTGTCAGAAACCGCATGGCCAGCCTCGGAAAGCGCTCGATCAATCCGTTTCCAATCTATTCCCTCCAAAGTCCTCATTAAAGCCATGCAGTTTGGAAATGTGTCGTACAGCGCAGCTACGTAGCATACATTTGTTTCCTACCCGTTTCAGGAAATCCTTACCTCCGATCTGAGTCCAGTTGTTACCGGCCAGGTGACTTCACTCTCCCAGCTGCCTGAGATCTTCCCCGATCAAGCTCCCTTCCTGGTTCGGCTCTCGCTCTTCTTCGGCCAAACACGATTGGCTCTGCTGTTTGATCCCGCGCACACTACCGAAGATCCAGCTCTCTATGCCAATTTCCTGCCGGCCAATCCACTGGCTGCGGCAGCTCCACTGGCTGAACTGACACGTTTGCGACGCATGTATGGCAGTGTTCCGGAGGATGAGGCGGCTGCCCTGTTCCTACAATGCGTTCAGTACTTCCTCAAATGTGAGTCCTCTGTCTTTTAAACTGTCTTCCAAATGATTTTTTAACTGTAAAAAAGGTAGTAAGATCTACGCCTTTGGGACTTTGTTGTGGCTTTGGTGTCTGCACAAGAACGACATCCATGTCTGCAAACTATATCAACATCTGAGAAATTTACGTAGCTCAGCGGAATAGGTTTCGATTCACGTTGACGTTTCGTAGAAATTGACCGGCTCCATTTTCAAAGCCTCTACTGACCAAACTTTTCGGCTTTGGTCATTTTTATCATTCGCTGCTTCAGCCCTCGTGTTTATTTATTTATTGATCGCCAGTTTACAGGCAATTTTAAAACTGGGTTTATTGGTAAAGCGCCTTTTGGGCGCCTTCCAAATCCTCGAAGACAGGAAAAAAACCTAAAACCAACTCCCTCTTATGCAGTCAGTATTGTTTTTAGTTTTTTGCTTGGTCAATAGTGGGCAAAATAGGGAGTTTGTTTCAAGTGAAAAAAAACCTGACTTCAAAGGTACTATATTAACAAAATCTATGTACAGTTGTAGATCGAGTTGACAGTTTAGCAGAAAAAAACTGCAGCTCATTGAGTGACTTTAGTTCGGGACGGGGTGGGTTGGCGCAGTGTTCGCAGTCTTCCTTGAGTGTAGTGGTTTCGAGATTCTGCACCAGCGGAATGTTTGTCGGCGAACAGTTGCTCGCTGTCGGCTGAAGAATTAGCCGATTGCGGGCCGCAGATTCAGCACAATTATCCTCATCATGAGGCCTGGCAGGTTTCAAAGTTCCCGAACGCCATCAGAGTAAAAGAGAGATTCCACCGAGTCAGCACACAAAATTCGTGAAAGTTGTCCTGTATGGATGTTTGCGCAGCTTTACGGCCGCCGGTGTTGCGCTTCTTCAGCACGGCGGAAGGTACTAGCAAGTTTCCTTCCTCCTCCGGTGGGTTCGTCACGGCGCCGTTCTGTATGACCCTGTCTTGGTCTTTATGCCCATATAACACAGGGCTTTATGTGGCACAGAAAGTTCTAGATGCCTACTGATGCAGTTGTCAACTGAATACCATGCCTCCAGCGTCAGTCCTTCCGCTTTT